CAGTGTTTTCTCTCAACCACATATGATAGCAGATCTGTATAAACTTCTTCATGCTGTCTTGCTATTAACGGAGGATCAGCACCTACATAGTGTCAGATTTGTTTGCCCGGCTCAACACTGAGTGGCTGGGAAGCCGGGTTCCCGGCCAATTAGCATCGAGCCGGCCAAACAGCATGGAGCCAGCTTCCCGATTCCATCTTTCCTCGCGGCACCGCCAGTCAGAGGAAATCTCCCTTTGACCGGAAGTTCTAGTATCGGGAAAGGTATCGGAGCATATGGGTGAGTACTCGCCCAAATACTCGGTATCGGCACCGATACCGATACTAGTATCGGTGCATCCCTATTTTTAACATTAAAATTCCTTCTTTAAATAATAATAAAAAAAAATTCAACATGCTTGCCCCAAACCCCATCATAGACAGAAAGGAGAACGATTACATTTTAATGTTTGTACTTTAGGGCGTGCTTACAAAACGGCTCAGATAAATAAATACAAAACAATTATGTTTTATTTGTCTTCCCAGATTTTTCAGCATAAAATGATTTTGCCTTTAGAAAAACATGTTTGATGCAGCATACAGGGAAACATATTTAAATTTTTATGCAACAATCTGATCAAGTCCATTCATATATTTTTTTTTAAAGTTCAATAAACATAAACTCAGACATAACTTTTCTCAGCATTGTAATATTCAATATGTGCATTTAAAGGGAAACTATATATATATACACACACACAATACACTTTTTTTGCATGTTTAACCATATATGTGAATAGGATCAGCTTATTAGTACTAAAATAATAAGATTTAAAAAAAATTATTTTTGTGTATAATTTCTGAAATATATGTGCACGGGGGCAGCCATACTTGTTTATTTCATATGCAACCCTTGTTCCAGCATAGCGGTACTTGTGTTCCAGCATAGCGGTACTTGTGTTCCAGCATAGCGGTACTTGTGTTCCAGCATAGCGGTACATCATACTGTTCTTGCTTTACTGGTGTTCTGCTCTTTCTGCATGGGCCAAGTCTGACCAGGCTCTCCCTAAAGCTAACAACGTTTATCTTGGCGGACCTTAATTCGGGATGCTACTCACATTTACTGATGCACAGATCACTAGATAACCTCTGGGTCAGGGGTAGGCAACCTTGGCAAACCAGCTGTGCTAAAAAAAAAATACAAATCCCGTCATGCTTCTGCGAGTCATGTCTGTGACTGTTGGGGTCTTGCAACACCTCTGGGAGTCATGCATGTGGCTGTCAGGGTCTTGTAATGTCTCTGGGAGTCATGCCAGTGGCTGTCGGGATCTTGCAATGTCTCTGGAAGTCATGCATGTGGCTGTCAGGGTCCTGCAATGTCTCTGGAAGTCATGCATGTGGCTGTCAGGGTCCTGCAATGTCTCTGGGAGTCATGCATGTGGCTGTCAGGGTCCTGCAATGTCTCTGGGAGTCATGCATGTGGCAGTCAGGGTCTTGTAATGTCTCTGGGAGTCATGCATGTGGCTGTCAAGGTCTTGCAATGCCTCTGGGAGTCATGCATGTGGCTGTCAGGGTCCTGCAATGTCTCTGGGAGTCATGCATGTGGCAGTCAGGGTCTTGTAATGTCTCTGGGAGTCATGCATGTGGCTGTCAAGGTCTTGCAATGCCTCTGGGAGTCATGCATGTGGCTGTCGGGGTCTTGCAATGTCTCTGGGAGTCATGCCTGTGGCTGTCAGGGTCTTGCAATGTCTCTGGGAGTCATGCCTGTGGCTGTCAGGGTCTTGCAATGTCTCTGGGAGTCATGGATGTAGCTGTCACGGTCTTGCAATGTCTCATGGGACTTCTAGTTGCACAACAGCTGGGGTGCCAAGGTTGCCTACCTCTGCTCTAGTAGGAGCATTTACAAATCTGTCTATGAAATGCAATAATTTAAAAAAAAAAAGGAAAATCAAGCATTGAAATATTTAAAAATCAAGTTAAAAAAAGTCTTTCAGGTAATTGTCACAATCCTAAAGTCAACGTGTGTGTGTGTGTGTGTGTGTGTGTGTGTGTGTGTGTGTATAGTAGAAAAACACACTATAGTTTCCCCTTAAATGATACATGTGTTGATTGTTTGGATTTGTATCCTTTGGAATATAAAATACCTATCTATAAATTGTACACAATAAAAAATAACAAAAAAAATGATTTGACCTCCCACCATGCATCCCACTTAAATATATTTCCCCATCATGTGCCCCAGATGGATTTTGACCATTTCAAAATTATCATTTTTAAAAAGTCATCCTTTTTTTTTTTTTTACCTCTTTAAAATAACACATTTGCCTGAAAAAAAAGAAAAAATCACAAATTTCACAAATACATTTTTTCTTTTTAACAATAAAATAAAAATTCCACTTGCTGCATT